GCTCCATCCTGCAGTCCACTCTGAAGAGCATTTTAACGCTTTTTATCTAAGGCTTCCCATTCCTCTGAGGTCTTGCCTTCCACCAACAAACATATTTATTAAGGTGCTTTTCCCAATCCTAGAGCGTGTCTCTCAGGGCAATGCTGCCCGATTCTGGACCAAAAGATGCGATTCACAAGCCCCAGCAAAAGCTTTCAAATAGCAAAAACTGTCCCCCCATCTCCCAAACATTAGCCTGATCCATGTGTATTGTTTCTCCACTTACCATACGCAACAGTGGGACATACTTTCTGATAATGGCACAGAATCTTTACGGTCAGAACTACCCTGGAAAATCCAGGAAGGACTGTCGTTGTTTCTGTTTCCCATATGTCTACCGCTCACACCTGAAATGGAAATGGAGCCATTCCTTGGCTCTCCTTTACCTGGGAAACATCAGGGCTCCCCAGGTGGCTTGTCAGGGTCTCCGTCACAGGAGAAAGCTTTGAGGAGCCTTCAAAATCCAGAGAATAAGCCGCGAGAATCAGATAGGTTTAAATTTCAAAAGTTCTTAGCAGACTTTCGAAATTCCTCAATGACAATTGTCTGTTCCAACCAGCTTCCTCAGAGCCCGCCGGACACAACCTGCGTCACTGACCACATTCCTCTTTGCGGCTTCCCCTCCTTCTCAGCTCCAATTTGGTGCTAGATTCACCAGACCCTCTGGACTAGACCCACAAGCCTCAGGGAGGACTCCAGCTCACTCTGCGTTTGGGGGCCCTTTGCAATCCTGGCCACGAAGGGCAGGACTCCCGACGCTGGCTCCGGCCTCCTGCAGTGAGCAGCGTCCACACAGCCTGCGAGCAGGTGCAGAATGCCTGCCTGGTGAGGAAGACCTTCTGTTTCTTCCTCCTTCCAGACTCCATCAAAATGGAGCCTAGCCAGTCTGCGGTTCTTCTTCACTAAGATTTAAACATTTACCTCCTTGATGGAAAAGAGTCTTAAAGCTGAATTTCTGTAGCCGGGATGGACGGTTTTCATAAGCTGCCTACAGTTCTGTAGCGAGGCTGGAGGGCAGGTTGGAAGCGTGAGCTCCGTGGACCCCGATAGTTTCCTGGATAGAATTCAGGGAGTGTGTGAACTGAAAGGGGAAAGGCATTTCATCTTGATTTTCACAAACCTCCAAGTGAAATTTGGCCTTTCCTTCATCACGAAGGTAGGCATCAAGCCGTGGCAATATTATCAGAGCAGGAGCTGGGGATCTGTCACATGGAAGCCACAGATGGTGTATGTCACCTACAGTAGGTGCAGGTCTCTGGAAATGTCATTCACACTCAGAACGACTTTAAAATTAGGTTACATATTAGACTCATTGCTAGATCTCATGATTTAGTGTTTTTACAAAGAAGCACATGCATCATGTTATCACAATTTTTCCAAATATTTTGATTATTGCCTTTTAATACAATTTCTTCCCTTTGTTCTGATGTCTTTTATTTTATACCTTTAAAGTGCATTTTATGCATTATTCCAAGAAGAGGTCCGTAGACTCCACCAGCTTGCCAAAGGATCCCAGGGCAAAATAAATAAATAAATAAAATTAGGTACTTCTGAACTCTGGGTAGATGGTCCAGGCATATGGATGTTTTTGGGAAAGATTCTGCTTTTTATAGGGAAAGCAAAAGTGGCTTGTCTGGGAGGGGCATCTGTTTACGCGTTGTTCCCGTGCGTTGTCAGGAGGAAGGCCCATGAGGTCCCGCAGCAGCACTCCCGCGGGGTTGTGAGGAGCCTCTTTCCATGCGCCTGTCACCTGTACTCCCTGATCTGTCACGCGTCCCTCTCTGCACTCAGCCCGCGCGTCACATTCTCGTCACACATCTGTTACACCCAGTCACTTAGTTTACGTGTCTGCACGTGCATTGCACGTTCCCGTCAAGGCTCTGTCACGTTTGGTCCAGTGCCTGCTGTGGTGGGTCCCCCACATGCCAGTTGTATGTCCACAGATGAATTTCACATGTAAGTCACTTGTCCATTGGGTAATATTTCCCTCATAGGTCCAGCAGGTGTTTGACATGTAACTATCAAGGTAACTCATGTATTCATTCATTCATTCATTCATGAATTCCTACCATGTGGCAGTCACTATTTTAGGCTCAGTGGATGTAACAGTGAACAAACAAAAAGCCCTGCCTTTGCAGAGGCAAGACAATAAATGTAACAATGGTAACTCAATATTCAACTGAAAATTATTATTATTCAACGTAATGATAAGAACAACAACACAGTAAGCACACCAATAAATCAATAAGCATAACACAGTAAATCACACCATATGCCAGAAGTGATGAGTCTTACGGGAAAAACAGGGCGAGGTGAGGGGATCAGGGCTGTGGGGCAGGGTGGATACAACTGTAAATAAGGAGGTCACGTAGGCCCTTGAAGAGTCCTTTGAGCAAAGACTTGAAGGAGGCAATTAAAGGAGCTTTGACGGTATCAAGGAACCGCGTTCTAGGCAGAGGGAACAGCAGGTGGCGAAGCCCAGAGCAGGAACACATCAGGAGGAATGTCGAGGAGGCCAGTGTGGCTGGAGTGGAGGAAATGGTCAGAGGACAGCAGGACTGCTCCAATTTCTCTCAGGCTCGATGAATTCAGAGTTTACTTGCTACCCTAAACCTTTGACATGGTTTAGCACACACTCATTGGTGACACAGTCTGAGGCCTGAACATCCGTCCCGGAAACCGTTGCCTGTTGTGTCCCGGCTCACTTTAAAACACTCTGATGAGTTTAATCTCAGGGGGAAGGAGCCCTTCTCTCTGCAAAGCAGGGTATGGCAGCTGGGCCAGAAAATGAAAATCGTGTCACCCACAGGTGGCATTGGAAAGGTCCCAGTCTGCCACTTAGCAAGCTGGGGGACAGTGGTCACTGTGCCAGCCTCGCTGAATCTGTTTCCACGTATGTGTAACGGGGCACTAACCCCTGGATCGTATGGCTAGAATGCAGAAACAAACCTCCGGTCTCCAGCCTGAGCCTGGCACTCAGGCCGGCCCAGCGCGGTCACCTGCTTTGCCTGGCCGCCAGTGCCCGTGTGTCTCTCCTTGGACCTCACTTGCCCTGCGACTCAGAACTGACTTCAGGACCTGAGGCTCTGCTCATGTGTGAGTAAGATCTCGGCATGGTTTCTGCTCTATTCTTAATCCTGAATTCTCCCATGTAGTAAAATTCTTCAAATCTTCTTGGAGTAAAAAAAAGCTGGAGCCTAAATCCTAAAAAAATAAAAACCTGAGGTTGCTGGCACAGCTTGTCTTGTAACCCTTTGAAAGGACATGAAAAAAGTGGTTACAAGTGCCCACTCGTCACCTTCAGTTGGCAGGAGGCTGCCCTCTGAGACTCCTTGTCCTCTGCTGCCATCACCTGGAGAGAAGAGGGACTGCGGGACACGCCGGCACAGAGACCACAGAGGAGGGAGACCAGGGGCTGAGACCCTTCCCGCTGACTAGGAGACACCGGGCCTACCCCAGAGAGGCCAGCAGCGCACCTCAAATGAAAAGGCAGGTGGCGTGACTTGAAAAGCTGTCAGGGCCCAGAGAGGGCTCAATGTCAAAGGAGGGAGTTCTGAGAATGACAGGTCTAGTCTCACCTCTTACAAAAGAGGAAACCAAGACCAAGGCAGTTGTATCTTCTTTCCCAAGGCTGAACTACACCTTAGAGACAGTCAACATTTGAACTCAGAGCCCTGAGCTCGAAATCCAGGCTTGCTTTAGAGCCTGGCTGCTCAGGGTGTAGTCCTTGGATCAGCAGCCTAGGAGTCCCTTAGAGGCTCGTTAGAAATGCAGGACCTCAGGCTCACCGGAAACTGACTGGATGGGGACCAGCATTTGAATAGAGCCCCAGGAAAGCGGTATGCAGGAGAGCCACGGAGCCCTGCTTTCCAACCCACTGCCTTCCAGCTTTCCTAGCAGGGTGCATTAAGATGATTTTATTTCCCCAAATGGAAATCGTGACATTGTTCTTTCCTGCTTATATAGGTTCTAAATGTTCACTGTAAAGAAATTCAGATGATAGAGGACAATTTAAAGCAGAAAGCAATAAACATTGTGGTATATAAATAGCCTTCTAAACATTTTCTAGGTGCGCGCACGCACCCGCACACACACTTTTACGAACATCAGATTGTATTTTCCATACTCTCTTGCAGCCTTTGCTTTTTACTAAAGATACTTAAGGATGATTTTTCTTTTGAAATAGTAGTTGCTCAACGAATATTTGCTAAATGAAAAAATTGAATAAACCAATAATCATGGGTGTATTAGTTATCTATTGCTGCGTGAAAATTACCCCCACACTTAGCAGTTTAAAATAACAAGTATTTCTTGTCTCACACTGTTTCTGAGGGTCAGCCCCTGGGAGTGGCTTAGGTGGGTGATTGTGGCTCAGAGTCCCTCACGGACATCGCAGTCAACTCGTTGATGGGTGCAGTCATCTGAAGACGGTGTCACCTCTACTCCAAAGCCATCACCGTCTCACCTGACCTCATACGACAGCCATTTGTCCTATCAGGTATCCGCATATCTGCCCTTACCCCCTCTCAACTATTGGCCCATGTACCAGCCAGAGCGAGCTTGGAACAAGGCAGACCCCACCTAGTTGCCCCCTGCTTAAAATCCATCTGTGGTTTCCCATGGCTTATAGAATAAAATATAAACAATGCCAATGGCCCCCTCTCACCTCCTGCCCTTGTCCCCTCGCTCTCTGTGGTCCATCCCTCTCTCAGCCTCTCCTACGTGCCAAGCTCTGCCCGCCTTGGAGTTTCCCAGATACGGTTCCCTCTGACTGGAACTCTACCCAGACACACTCGCCGCACGCATTCGCCATGCGCGTTTGCTGCAAGCATTACGTGAGTGCCCTGCGAATGGTAGGCACTCAGTAAATATTTGTTGAACATACTATCTTTTATCCTTCATATTAGCGGCAAATATTTTCCCCAGATTGTGGTTTGCTTCTAACTTTGTTTATTGTTTCTTTAACCTTCAGAAGTTTTACACTTTGATGTAGTCAAGGCAGTCAGTCTCTCTATGGGGATTTCTCTGTTGCTTTATGCACAGAAAGTTCCAGAGGTTTTATAAGAAGAGCAAGTGCCTAAGCAAGGGCCCAAGTTTGAGGAATTCAGATTAGAAGGAAGAGGAAGCAGACGTCCTTGTTGGAAACTGACGGAGGGAGTCACGGGTGTGATCAAGGCCAGGCGCAACAGCAGCACAGGGTGAGGATGTCCCGGGCATGGTTCCCTTGGCCTGCCATTGTCCTCATGGTGCTGCCATGGTATTAATGGTATTCATACCTTCCTAGTGGGTTGGGAAAGTATTACTACCTTAGGACATGTCAAAGGAAAGCAGGTCAGAGCCATTTGCCAGGCACTGACTTTCAAGGTAAGAATTGAAGGATGGGGTAGTAGTTTATCAGGTCCAGGCTGTGGGTACGTGTGTGTGTGTGTGTGTGTGTGTGAGCATGCGTAAATGTGGCTGGGAGAGGTTTCAGATAGAGGGAACAGTATCTGTGAAGAGCTCCAGATGGGATGTTTTCAGGTGGTCTTCATTAAATGCCTACTCTGTCTTCCAAAACCCATCAACGGGGCAAGGAGAGGATGTTGCCGACCACGATGAGGAGCTGTGTTCTTGAGGGTCTCAGCCCAGCCTCAATTTCCATGGAGGACAGGACCAGCCAGCTCTGGTCCTACCACGCTTCTCCACCCCCTGCCACAAGAATTAGGTGCAAAGCCATGACTACAGCACAGAAGTTGTCCCAGGTGAAGCCCCTGTCCCCAGGCAGCCTTGGTTCCTGGCTGGCTGTCCCGCCTTTGGCTGTGAGAAGGGGTGGTCCTTTGACTTTCAGAAAAACACGTGTAAGCTGCAGCCGTTCAGGGCGGGGTACAGTGTTGAACCTCTTGGGGTGGGAAGGTCAATAAAGATGCCACTCAGGCCTGCCCAGCCTTCAGCCCAGCAAGGTGACACCGGGAGGGGAGTGTCTCACCTTCTGTCTGCTGGGTGCCAGGCAGAATATAATGGCGATTCTGTGACTCCCGGTTGCGGGCAGGAGCCAGGCCCTGTGCTGAGAAAGGCTTTCCTCAGTACAACCTTAGGTGGTAGGTGTGACTCTTATCCCCACCTTACAGATAAGGTATCTGTGCTTTGTTCCAGGTCGCTCAGCTATACCTGGCAAGATCCAGATGAGGACCCAGGTGGCCCGGCTCTAGAGCCCCTGAAGGGAACCGGGACGCCCTGCGGTCTCCCAGCCCCTGGTGGAGGGAGGGTGTCCATGGGCTGGGCGTGGGCACGTGTGAGGCAGGGCTGGGACCTCCACGTCTGGTACCCGGGGGAGGAGCCTGAGCCAGGGATTCTGATTCCAACAAGGAAGGACTTCATGGGGTGTGGAGATGCTGCTGCCCAGAACTTTCTCATAAGGCAAGTCCCTCCTCTGCCCTGTTGCAGGGCTGGAAGAGGACAATTTTAGTAGCAGCAGATCTGCGTGGGCCCCAGATGAATGGCAGGGGGCCAGCTCACCAAGTACGGACAGAGCTGGGGAAACACTGAAACAGAGGCTGTTAGAACATAACCTTACATGCAAGGAAGGCTGAGGTGGTTTGGGTTATGTGACATTTGTCAGCATGAGGCCATCCCCCAGGAGGACGAAGGACAAGGTGCCAATCCAGGCTTCGAGAGGCACAGGCATGCTGACAAAGAACAGAGAGGGGCTGCCTCCCCTTGCAGCAGGACCCTAGTGGCCTACCTGGAGGAGGGGGCCCTGGAATGTGGAGTGGAGACAAGTGGGGAAAGGAGTGGGGTGAAGCAACTCAGGGAGAGATATGGGACCAGCAGCAAGTGACCCGGGCTTACTCACTGGTGGACTGCCGGATTCCAGGAAGCATTTGTGAGCCTGAGTGTCTGCGTGTTTTTATAAACTTCCCCACTTCCAACTTGGGATCAAGACTTATTTGGCAAAGAATGTTGCCTTGGGGAAGGAGGCTGACTGCCTGGAGACGGGAACGAGTAGGTGAATTCGTTCCTCAGAGGTCTAAATATGGCTTATTTCTCCAGGGCTCTGGTATTTTTCTAAGATAAATAATTGAATTGCTGAAACTGTGAAAGTGAGCCCTTGTGCAAACTCTGGAAGATTCTTAGTGTGTAAGTCTGGGAGTCTGTGTCAGTTAAAGCTTATGTATGTATAACTGATTTTTTTTTTTTGAGGAAGATTAGCCCTGAGCTAACATCTGCTGCCAATCCTCCTCTTTTTGCTGAGGAAGACTGGCCCTGAGCTAACATCTGTGCCCATCTTCCTCTACTTTATACATGAGACACCTACCACAGCATGGCTTGACAAATGGTGCCATGTCTGCACCCGGGATCTGAGCCGGCGAACTCTGGGCCACCGAGAAGTGGAACGTGCGCACTTAACTGCTGCGCCACCAGGCGGGCCACCCATATAACGGATTTTAATCATGATAAAATTGGGGCTTGTGTTATTTTTTCTGTGTGTTGAATGGTTTTCTTTGCAAAAAATGCACTCATGCACTATGATTTTTAATCGGAAGAGATTAGAAATATGACCTTGTATTGATAGATTTGTCTGTTTTAATTAATAGACTATATGTTTTAGAGCAGTTGTAGATTTATGAAACATTGAACAGAAAGTACAGGGCGTTTCCACGAACCCTCCTTACCCCCCATACCCACGGTTTCCCTGTTATTAATATCTCGCATTAGTGTGGTATCTTTTCTAAAACTGAGTCAATATTGATGCATTATTATTAACTAAAGTCCACGTTTACATTCGGGTTCACTCTTCCTGTGGCACATTGGATGGGTTTTGACAAACGGATGATGATGTGGAGCCACCCTTACAGTATCCCACAGAATAGTTCCCCTGCCCTATAAATCCCTGTGCTCTGCCCAGTATTAATAATTTTTTAAAAGGAAGATTTTAGATTTAAGTGATTTTCCCCTCCACTTACTTCTAGAAAGTACAAGTTATACTGTGTCCCTTCCACCCATGTCTACCCCTCCCCCTTCCAGGAAGCCGGTCAAAATGCTTCCTCAGTGACCAAAGGGATGGCCAGCACATGTTCAGTACCTCCATTCCACGTGGCAATGTGAGGGGCCCCTGAGGACCAGAGAGGATGTTGACATGATGGCCCCCTAACATTGTGATGGGAGATGGTTACCCACAGTCTCAGCTCAGGGGGTCCTGGACGGATTCCATTCAGCCCAGCCACATGCCGGTGTCGCTTTCGGTTGGAAGCAACAGAAACCCAGCTCAAACTAACTTAAGCAGCAGAAGGAGTTCAAATACCACAAGGACGGGTCTCAGGTCTGGTCCTGCACCAGGTAAACTCTCACTGGTGTCGCTGCTTGGGGATCCGTCTCCAAAGGGCGCCTCCATCTTGCCGAGGTGATAGTGCCTTTCATCTTTCATTGTCTGGAGGTTTTGTCTCAATCCAGGAGGGGTACACATCTCCGCAGCCAGGTTTGCTGCCAGGTACACAAACACGCAGTCAGGTTCTCACGTGCCCTCCCTCCATTTTATCTCTTCTGGTTAAAGGTGTGGCTCCCTGACCGAATCTCCGTTAAACAGCAGCTGCGTTGTCTTGCAGGGTGGACCTGGCTGGGCTGGCTCCAGTCTGCTATCTCCAAGGGCACCGTGGGTTTTGACCAAAGGGCCTCACACGTGCTGCAGAGATATATTTAACTGCTCCTGTTCACAGAACAGCAGGACGCCTCAGGAACAATCTTTCCAAAGCAGCCTTCCTGTGGTTTCCCTCTGCCTTTCAGTCCCACCAGCCTGGTTCCTCCCACCAGGGCTGAAAACCCAGGCAGGCTTCCTGGCAACTCTGGTCATCCTTTCTCCAGTCCCTCCAAGTGACAAACAGTGTGACATTAGTCACTAAAAGGCCTAATTCTGCAAAATGGTAGAAACATCCATCTTCCTGTCAAGGAGACTTCTCCCCAAGCTGGGGCCCATGCTGGGGAGAGCCTGCGTCTGGAGAGAGGTGGGACCATTGGCTCCTGCTTTCTTCAAGCAAGGACTTGCTGGGAGCAGAGTTGGCCTCCTTTCCAAGCGCTGCCTCGCCAGGAGCACGCCCCACGTCCCATGACCCCCGGAGGCTGGGGCTGAAGGGCTGGCCGCAGGCCCACTGAGAGACAGCCCACCTCACTGGCCCCTCTGCCCACCCTTGGGCTCCCACTTCCCTTGTTCGGCTGTCCTTCCCTGAGAAAGTTCCCTAAGAAATACCCTGCAGGCCAAATTCCACCTCAGCATTTGAGAGGCCCTCCCTGCCTCTCCCTTTCTGCTGGCGGAGGTTGCAGCCACGTCCAGGGGTGGAGCTCAAGGACGCAGATGGAAGGCAGGGAGCCCCAAAGCCCTCGTTTCACTGATGCTGTCACGCTGACCCAGCCTCTGCGCCCTCTGCACCTGGGATGTCCCTCGAGATGACCCTCTCCACCCTCTTGCCAGCACTTACAAGGACGCCTCGGGGTGGGGCTCAACCCCCTCCCCATCTAGGGGGATCTCCCATCTTAGTGTCAAAGGCTGGCTCCCCAAACATTACCAACACAACCTGTTTTGTATTTATTGCTCACTGCAGGCACCAGGTCACCACCTCAGTCACCAGGTCACCATGACCAGGGCACCACCTCACAAAGCTTGGCAGTGTCTCAGAGAAGGAAAGGTAAGGTCAGAAGGCATTGAGAGTTGTGAGCTTGGTCTAAAGCAGAGCTGGGGGCTTGACTAGGACTGGGCAGGAATCGTGGTACAACAGTCCCGGATGGATGGAGACAGCAAGGCCAGGATTCTGAGCCGTGGCATTCAAAGAATCTTAGGGCACAAATGGTGGGTGCTTCCCACTGAAGAGCTGACAGGTCTTTCTGGAAGTTCCTATAGTGAACAGTCAAATTATTGCCTGGGCAGGACAGTCCCAGAAGAGCTGAGAAATGCTAATGAAGGCAGCAGAGAGTCACGTCCTGTGAATGCAGAAGGCAATGCACAGTTTCCCTTCTCGGTGGAGTCTGAGTTTGGAGGTGACAGCTTGGGTTCTAGTTAGTTCCCTCAACAGAGCCATGCATCTCCATCCCGGCCCTGGGGCTCTGGCTTCACCCCTCACCTCGCTCTGCCGAGGTGTTTACCCCTCCAGGAGGTCCTCCTGGACTGGATTTCAGTGACTCCTCAGCACTTCCATCCTGTCTACAGGAAACATTCACTGTTCCTATTAACTCCAAGCGTCAACCAGAACCTCTCTTTAACATCTTTTTAATGGCATCAAGACCTCCTGCCTAAATGACACTAAACTCCTACCAACCTTTTTACTCCCGGTGTTTTTGTGTTTTTTTTTCCTTTGGAGAGGAAGATTGGCCATGAGCTAACATCTGTTGCCAATCTTCCCCTTTTTGCTTGAGGAAGATTGTTGCTGAGCTAACATTTGTGCCAATCTTCCTCTGTTTTATGTGGGATGCCGCCACAGCATGGCTTGACAAGTGGTGCTAGGTCTGCGCTCACGATCCGAAACTGTGAACCCCAGGCCGCCAAAGCAAAGCACGTGGACTTAACTACTACGCCAGCAGGCCAGCCCCCTCTGGGTGTTTTTGAAGGTCTCTCAGCCCAGTGATGGCAACACCTGCTCTCAGCCCTCCCTCACCCAGATATACCCTCAAAGAACCACCAGAAGCAGCGTCTACAAGATATATTCATAATGTCCAACATTTTTAAGCATTTACTGTGTGCAAGGCACGCCAAGCATTTTATATGGACCATTTCAAATAGTCCTCATAGCAACCCTCTGAGAGAAGTGCTGTTATTATTTCTATTTTACAGAAAAGGAAAGAGGAAACCCAAAGAAGTTAAGTAACCTGCCTAGGGTCACACAGCCAGCAAGCAGGCGGTTAGGATAGGAGGCAGGCCCCTGGGATCAGAGTAGATATGCTCCTAGCATTCCTTCCCCTCTTCTTCCAGCCCCAGCCCCTATTTTCATCTGGGGCTCTATCCCTCCTCCACTGTCAGCCCACATAGTCCTTGGGGGGAACTGCTGCCAGCCCTAGGGGAGGAGCCCGCGACCAGCACAGTGCACGCCCCCGACTCCAGTCATTGGTTCAGCACACACATATGTCCGGGGCCATAGATCAGAGCACGGCGGGGGATGCTGGACAAGATCACTTAGTGGTTTCGGTGGAATTTAAAGTTGCAATATAGAATTAGCCCCCCCTGAGGGAAGGAGGTGCCTGAGAACATGGTTAGCACAGAAGAGAGAAGCCTAGCAATGGGAAGAGGGGCGCTGGTCTTCAGCAAAACCCCGGAGCACTTGTGCCCAGCTCCACCTACTCTAGTCAGGCTCTGAGCCCACACTCTCCTTTTCCACCTAAACCCAACTGAGTGAAGTTTTCTCCTATTAAGCGCACAGGAAGAATCCCGGGGCCTTAACAACGGGCCAGTGCTCTTAATCCCATTGCCATACTGGGCGTTTGCCTGGCCTGCCCTGAGGGAGAGAGTGAGGCTCCAGTCACGTTAAAGTCACTGCTGGGATTTGAAGGGTCCCAGTAAATTACACACCATGACCCGCCCTCCTCCAGTTCTAAACCAAATGAGAGCCGGCAAAGGAGTTAAGCAGATGGCGATCAAAACAGTAGCTTTATTACTGTGGCAGCTGAGGGAGAGCATGGTTTAGATAAGCAATGACGACAGATTTCCTCACAGTGTACCCGGAATCAGGCCGACTCACCCCCAGTCGCAGGCAGTGCTGGACATGGTCCTCCCCAGCCAGGGGCAGAGCCTGACACGTTAGTGTAGGGTCTGGGGGAACTAAGCAGATGGTGGGCTTCCCGTGGGTGCTGGCTCCCAAGAAGAAGAGAAGGAGCTGAGGAAGCCTTGCAATCAGGGAGGAGGGGAGAGCCCAGGAGCACCAGGAACAAAGCTTCTTTCACAAGGAAGCAAGAAGGAAGACCTGGGGAACAATCCCACTACCTCCCAGGAATAAATAAAAACCCCAAGGAGAGATTAAGTCTAACGTCCAAAATGGTATCACGTTAACTCAGAGCTTTTCAACCTCAGCACTACTGACATTTTGGACCAGATAATTCTTTGTTGTCGGGGGCTGTCCTGTGCATCGGAGGAAATTTATTTACAGTATCCCTAGCACCTCATTACCCCCACCTCCAATCATGACAAACAAAAGTGTCTCCAGACTTTGCCAAATGTCCCCCGGGGGTGACATCGCCCCGGGTTAAGAACCGCTGTATTAACTGTTCAGAAAGTCA